TCACACGAGTTATATTATTATTATTGTCTTTATTTTTCTAGTAATTGCGTTGGATTTATCCGGGTCTGGTCTGTTCGCTATGAGTGCGGATGAGGACGAAAGGGTTAAGTAGGTACGATCAAATTTACAAACATTTATACTTTTTATACTGGCAAACTCCCAAGGTTGAACAACGCATGACAAAGATATTATTAGTTTGCTCTAGTTATAATATTGAGTATTGAATGTTTTCAAAAATGTCGACGGGAGAAGTAATCGCAATGCTTTTATCTTGAGACATAATTATTGAAAACTGGTTATCGAGCAATTATTATTGTTTTATTTAAAGTATTGTTCTATTAATAAAATTGTTTAATATAAAGGTTGTAGTTTGAAATAAAATATATGAAGACAATACAATCAGATAGGGAGGGGGGATTTTCAATGCAAATTTTCGGGAAATTCGGGATGTTCAATTTCAGAAAGTCTACAAAATTGAAACATAAAAAAATGTACACGGCTGTACGATATTTTTGATATTATGACTGGGTCAGGTCACAGTTGGCCAATCATTCGCTGTAGTATAATATTATACTATTGCACGTAACGACGAAAAGTGAAAACGTAGAGAGTTCAACGAAAAAGAGGGGAAGGTAGGTAAAGAGAAAACCAAGAGGAGCGGCACAACTGGAGAGTGAGATTTTTATCGGTAACGAGATTTCGTTGAGTCCGGACGCGCGGAAAAATATAAAAACCAAACGGAGAGAAGGGAAAAAATCTAAAAGCTGTCGGAAAAGATAAACCGCAGCGACGGGTGGCGTGTGCGAGGCATTGGACAGGGGCAGGCCATGTGTCGGAATACGGCAAAACGAGCGGCGGTGGGGAGGGGGGAAGGGGGGGGGAGGGGGGCTGTTGAGTGTAAACTACGACGAGGAGGTGGCGGGTTCGAACGCCCCAAAGTACATGTACACATACGCGCACACTACACGAGAGAACGTTGTAATTAGATTAGGCAGGTAGTGACTGTTGGCGCGACGGGAGAGTTAAAGTTTGGCAGAAGGTTTACACAGTAAAATCAATCTACCGCGCGCAGTGTGTTTTCTGATGAACGGCACGGCAACTGCGGTGACCGTTGAAGAACGAGGGATTATATTAAAGTGGGCTCATCCACTCGACCAAAGCTGCTTGGAAAAATATTGTTTCTGTTCGCGCTAAATGGATTCGGATGTCTCGCACAGCACAGACAGTATTTCTCTTGGTGTTACCCGCAGTTACACACCTCTACCGGCCCGCCACCGCTACTACTCTCTTCCTAACTTGTCAAAAGCTCACACTTGAAAACCACGGCAATAAACTCCTCGAGATGCCCTCCGTCTTTCGACAGACTTAAGGCAGCGCCCACGCTGCCACTCTCTTCGGGTGCGAAAACATCTCCATAGACAGTGAAAAAACTTTACCCAATGTGTCAACATTAAAGCCAAATTATTGTGGCCACCGAAATAATAAACACTACACTAGCACCGGCTCCAAATAGAAAACAATTTAAAAATTCCAAATCGGCTGACGAGTGACAACATTATTCTAACGCTAATCTAATCTTGGTATAGTTCCATCAACGGTTTTAGAAGAGACGATTGAATTAAATGTCAACTAAACGTGTATCCGAGATGACAAAACATAGTTAAAGTGTTAACTTAAAAACTAGGTCTACCATTTTTTCAAATTGTATTTTAATGTTACCTTAGATTGTTGGATAACAATTGGGATTATGACAAAACTCTGAGCCAATTCTGTAAGTACTATCTACTGACAATAGAATGTAATTGGAAAAAATAAAAGGATAATAAATTTGATGAGCATGTTGAACACAATGAAAGGTGGTAATGAAGATAAGTACGTGGACGAAAAGATATCTAGAAGATATATAAACGACTTGACTATTTTGATTTAGAATTGAGGACTAAATTGAGTAATTTTCACTCATTCATTTAAATTAATTATATTTTCTTTATGATATATTGAAAACAGAAAACACTTTTTAAGTAGTAAGTAAACCCTCGTGGGATTTAAACCTCATAAGGTTTTCAATTCATTAATGTTTTTCACTTAAAAAAATGTTAAAACAGTGACTTTTTTTAAAAATGACCCTGCACTCTTATAATTTAATTGAAGTAAATGTATTATTATACTACAAAGGGTAGTAAAATCCAACAGATGCCCCTCTACCCCTTGCCGCAAATACTACTTAAGTTTTATCCATCATGCGGCTTCTGACATGCCGTTGTATGAACATAAAAGAAATGAAATTGTTAAAAAAAAAATGTCATTTCGAGATAATACTAATTGTTTATTTTCACCATCGACCGTATACGTACCTAACGGTATAGGAAAACGTCAAAATATGTTTGAGAAAAAAACTAATGCGTATTGTTTAAAATATTTTTTACTCATTTTTTAATCACCTAAATTCGTTACGAGCGGCTCTCGGGAATTAAGTAAATTCCAAGCTGAACACGTCGGTCAGTGAGGGAGAGTGTTTATTTTTTCTACCAGAATTGCCGGAGATTTGCCCTGTTGTTTAATTTTCTTTGTATTTTTATTCTCTCGTCCCCTTAAGAGTGCTTTTTTTTAATTCTTTCGCTTTCCCCTCTTGTTTTTTTAATTGGATGTGTAAGGAGTGAACCCTTGTCACTGTAATATTCGGAAAAACAGCTATAAAAACTAAAAAAAAAAAACGGTTGTACATATTTTTCTTTGGCGTAGGTATGTATACATAAAATTAGTAAATTACTTTTGGCACGCCAGTAAATGCTTGGCTTACGCAAACTACATCTTGTATAGTCGCTGCCGACATTCGATAAAACTCGACGTTAAGTGGTTCACTGTTTTTCCTCCCCTCGGACGATCATTAACTCTTGGGCGTGCTATAATTGCCGTGATATTAATTACGGTCGTACATCTTGTAAAGAGACACATTCGACCTTGCCATTCGCCCTTCGTTTTTATTGCGCCCAATAAAAACATTATAACTATTATTTATTATTATATTAGGCATTATCGGGTTTGTTAAAAAAAAAAAAAAAAAAAAAAAAAGATAGACAATTTAATAAACACTTGTCGGGTTATTCGTAGTGAATATTTTAGGCGAGGAAAGAAGTGTGGGTGAGAAGTGCGCGAATAAAAATAATATTAGCGCTAGTCTGTTGATGAAATGAAATTTCGAATAGTAAACGAAACGAAAATGGTCTAGCAGGCCATTTATAAATGTGTTTTCTCGGTGTGTGCTATCCAAATATTGATAGTCTGGGAGGAGGTTACAGGTTTAAAGTAAAGTTAAAAACAAAATCTGATAAGAAACCGGTCATTAGACGTGTACAATAGAAAAATTGTCGTTGGTATCGAATGCAATTTGGGAAAAGTGGTTTTATATCCATACATTATATGATCCAAGATTATCATGTTTATAGAGGCTTATTGGTGAGTAGGCATTGTGTAGTTATGTAGTAGCTTATTGTCTTGCCGCGAGCGTCTCTACTGTCTTTATCAATTTTTGATTATAGTGTCAAGTGATCATATGCACAACGCATCCGCCTGTGTACGGGTGTGTTATCTGTTGTGATTTGTTAATCGCAATTAGTTTTGTTTGACAATATTTTTACTTTCATTTCATTTTTTTTTTTTTACTATTTAGGTTGAATTTAATTATTATTACTTTTTTACAAACACTAATAAAAAGTTTTTTAAAATAATATTCAGGACCTTTTACAATCATTACAGATGTACGTTCTAAAACTATAGAAGTTTCTACTACAACTACTACTATTACAGCACTAGATGTAATAAATGATTATAATTCATATTTAAAAATATGCATGTATATTAAATAAATACAAATTTATTTTTATTTCTGTAACTAACAGAAAGCGAAGGATACCCAGTTTATTGCCGTATCTGACAGTAACACAAATACCTACTATTATAACTGAACCTGAAGAAAAATTACCAAAATTGGATATTACTTTAAGGAAAAATTCAAATAGATCAAATGTATGATGTTAATAAATATTGTTTATTAATAATTAAAAACTATGCTTTCAAGTTAAATTTTATTGATGAATATAGAATTTTGGTATAGTAAAAAATGAAAGAATCGAGGTTACAAAAAGTGGACGGCCAGTAAATTTGCACTAAAAAATACCCTGCGGTCAAGGATACGTACTGACCAGCGTCGTTCGCCCAACCAGCTAACCGTTGCAGCTTTGTGGTGTATAATGCGTTTTAAACGGTTCGGAACCTTTGTTATTTCAAAGAGTAATTACCGAATAATTCACCTGCGCCCTGGTGTGGACGGCCGATGTGCGGACAACGAGTGTCGGACGGCCGGGGTGGGTGAATTAATGACAATTAATAGCGTGGGCTCGGGGATCCTTTTCGCAAGACTTATGCGGTGTCAGACAGTGGCCGTCTTGTTTAGCGATTAATCAGTATATAAAAGCGTCGACCCTCGCAAGCAGCAAGTCGGGCGGATAGGTGGCGTTTTATGTTATAAAACTAAGAGAAACGTCGTCGCTACCCTTCTGCCTGTATATTGTCTCACTTTCGTTCTCTGCTCTTTCTCTACGTGTTTGTTGTGCGTCGCCATTACGTAATTGTTTCCAATTTAAAACGGCACCCGGCCCCCCTCGATTGACGTTCTAAGGAGGAAGGACCGTTAACGAGACACAAAAGTGGGCGACGAGCGAGTGGAAGTAGCGAGGTGGTGCGATAACACGCGTTTAAAAGCACCCAGTGCGCCTTGCGGCTGATTTAATTGACTCGTTTTAATGGCTGTCAAAGGAAAAGGATTACGGTGACGGCTCTTTAACGTTGCCTACCCGGAAAATTAGTTGCCAAAAGTTATACGCCGTCAAAATACCGCGGTACCCTAAAGTCACATCCCTCTACTTGGAACGTTTTAATACATAAAATAATAACTTATTAACCGAACCTACCACCAAAAAGTATTATCTTGTTTTTCTTACCCGTGTGAATGTAAGTGTGCTTTTTCATGTCGGACTTCTGATGGAAACGTTTGCCGCAAAACTGACACGGATACGGTCTGGTGTCCGAGTGGATCAGCAGGTGCGTGGACAGCGTGGACGATCTCTTGAACGTTTTGCCACACTGCTTGCACTCGAACAGCTTTTCCACGTTGTGGGTTGTCCGTCGGCAGCATAACCACCTGGAATTACCCGCATAGGCTATTATAATGGAGACAACTTTTCTTTATATGTCAAAAACACTTTTTCCAGACGATACGACCCAACGCTGTGGGCTTTGGCCGTTTTTTTATCCACTGCGCCGAAAAAGACAAAAACTACGGGTACTAAGGGATTATCGGACGGCTTAAATCGTTCTGGGGATGGTTAACAAAAACAGAGACATGGTATTAACTATTAACCACACTAACCGGTGTTGGTTGAGACTGATTTCGGCGCCGAAAGACTTGTTGCACAGTTCGCAGGAAAATGGTCTTTTACCGTTGTGAGACCGTCGGGCGTGCACCTCCAGGCCGTGAGACGTCGGGAACATCTTGTCGCACTTGATGCATGAGTAAACGTCGCCAAACACTGTTCCCCTCATTAACATGTGGTGGTGTCGCAGATGGCCGGCCGGGTCAGACGGCGACGACGAAGACGGCGGTGGCAAGGCAGCCAACGGCTGGTTGCCGGCCGGTGCGCCAAACTGTTGTCTCAACTTCATCATGTCCTCGGCGGACGGATGTGACATGGTGGAACCAGTTGCGACCGTCGTCTGCTGTCCAGACGGATGAAACGGATTAGTGGCTGACATACCTGAAATCAAACGCGCAATTAGTACGTTATTTTGCCCGTATGAGTAATTCGGGATGGGGAAAAAATTCTTTAGAGTTTTTATACCTGCGCCGGATAACGGGTGGACAAAAGCGGCCGCGGCCGCTGCTTGAACGGCGCCCAGGCTCAGGTACAATGAACTGGTCAGGAAGTTGTGGTTGCTGTCGGCGTGCGCGTCGCCGCCGTTGTGGTCGGGCGATGTGGACGAGTTTAACATGTTAGTGGCGGCCGAATAGAAGTGTGGATGGAACCCGAAGCCGGAAAAGTGTTTTTGCAGCAGCGTGTTGGCCGCCGCCGCCGAAGGAAGCAAGTGCACCGTATCTTTTCGCGTGTCCTTGATCAAGTCCGGAAACTGCATCGAGGGGTAATGGTGCTGCAGCAGTGACCGGGTTACGGATATCGTGTCGACCATTCCGGTGGCTTGCTGGTGGTGGTGATGCTGACCGTGTTGATGGTGGTACGGATGTCTGGTACGGGGCGCGTCCGGCTTGAGCAGAGCGCTCACGCTGAAAGCTTCCGAGTTCTTGGCCATCGACGGTTTGATCACGGTCGTGGTGACGGCAGAGGCAGAGGAGATGATTATTGGTGACGGCGTCCTCTTGCTGACCACGTCGATGTCCGGCGATGCCAGTCGACTCTCCACGTCTAATGGCTCGGACGAGGTAGATGGTGACGGCGAGCTCCTCATCGGTGACCAAATCTTTGTCACCGAACATCGGCTGGTCACCTTGGCGTCCGCCGTTCCGTTGGCGTCTTCGTCGTCTTCGTCTTCCTCTCTTCCGTCATTTGGCATCGTCTCGGCGGGATAGTTCAAGCTCTTGGTTATGTTATTGTTGTTGTTGATGATGTTCACCCTTGAATTGTCATAAATGGTACTGCGGCCGTCGTCGTACTTTCCAACCAACCGGTTTATGCCAAACTTAATACAATCTAGAAAAAAACAAATAAAACAAAATTGTTTTAATTGTATGAAATGACTTAAGCATGCATGTACTATGTGTCATCGCTGCCTCTCCTAGGGAGGTTTTTTTTAAGGTACAGTCACATCCTTATAGGCTGAGGTGACTGTTGGATCTTTCTTATAGTTTTAAACTTGAAAAGCTCGAGTAAATTACTAGCAATATTCACAAGCCTCCAGTCTACAGCGTTAAAAAATTATGATTTAGACGGATACAAGTAAAAAAAGTGAAGCTTTGATGTAGATATAAATGTATATTGTTTAATTTATAATTTAAAAAAAAATTCGTGGCTACCAAAAATAACCTTCACATTATGAAGTACTTAAATTGACACAATTCAATAAATGTAATACAACCTCATTAATTTTCGTTCTATAACATCTACGTTAGGGCTACATTTATTATTAAACGTTTGTCCATTAATTTGTAAATAAATTACAAACACTAAAGTATAATAAGTTTTAAGTTATATGAAAATTATATTAGAATTATAGAATTGTAAGCCAAGGTAACTATGATTACAATGTTAATAAGATATGTTTATTGGGTAATAGAGTTACACATAAACAATTTGCCCGTAATCGATAGGGCAGTGTAATAAGTATTCCGTGGAAAATAATAAATTCGGCACATCTAACAGTAGGTATTCTTTTATTTACTACTAATTTGAGCTTATTGGACATTTGAATAAACCGTATAGTCATTTCGAATTTTTGGGGTGTAATACACATAGAGGTGTTTACACATAGGTAAATTTTACTCAAAAATTGTCTGCCGGGCAAATTTTTTACCAATGAATTTCTATTTGAAAATGATTACCGTCATATGGAACGCCGCGCCGTGTAAATTAAAATAAAACCAAACGAAATGTTATTGTGTTTTTTAATAGTTATTTAAGTAGGTAACTTATAAAAATAACTCTTTGTGTAAGACAAGCAAAATAACAGATTAACAGATAGTTAACAATTTATACCGGCTAATTCCACATTTTTGGATACACAAAATATGGTCTCGACTTGATCCTACCGAATCGAGCATTCAACATATGCGCTTTCGTTTCGTTATACCGTTTACCTATACTTCTTTGTTTAAGTTTAACGACACGGCACGATAATCTATAGAAGTTTACACCGCGACCGTGGTCGTCGATACCGGCCAATACTAATACCTACCTATTTTCGTGCCGGTATACACGCGAGGCAATTAATAATATTGTATACGGTTTACAACAGCAGAACAGGCGGGTACGGCGTGCGCCAATATTTGCCCGGCCGCTACGGTACCGTATACTTATAATGTTCTCTACACGCTAAGTCCTGTTGGAAAAATAAATACTTGCTACAAAAGGGTTATACGCGAGTCGTCTCTCGGATCACCGCCACCGCTGAACAAACAAACCATATTGAATTCTCCCGACAAACAAACCGTCAATTTTTATCACTACATGCCCATTATTTATAACGACACGCGTGTGTAATAAATTATACCGACGGCCTTAAACAACCACGTCGGTATTAAGACGACAAGTACGATAATAACATTGTGCTCGAACTTCCACAAAGTTTGTGCGTTAAAACACGACGTCACTACGTTAATGTAGGCACGTGTATGCGCTAAAATTTCGTCGAGGTTTTTTTTTTTACCTAAATTATATACTATTTGCTATGCGGATTAGGCGTGGACGGGATTGCGGTTAGACGTGAAAGCGAGCCTATACGTACGACCACCCCGAGCGAAGCCAAGTAAAACACCATTGATAACATTCTCACCGCAGCAACCAAACATTGGTAATCATACACAGTAGTAGATGGAGACGACTCAAAGGAAAAAATTCTAAATCTTAACTTTTAAAATGAAATATTCATAGCTAAACCGAGTTTTTGTCATATTAAGCTATGAATTACTAGCTAATGGGTTAGCACTAAAATTCTTAGAACTTTGAATGCTAATTATATTTGTTTTCAGTTGTGCTGCTGGCAGTTGTTGTTAGTCCGAATTACTGTACACTCGTTATAAACTTATAGAAATCACGCATAGATAATATTATATTTTATTCGTTAATTATTATAGTTCACAACTAGATTTTGTTCTTTTTATTAGTTAATACTATAAATATTATGTCAACAGATTTAGATATTTTTAAGACAATATAATTTATAGACACTTAAATGGGAATAAACTAATTAATGTATGAATACACGAGTGCTCGCAAATTAAAACGTCTCGAACCAATGAATCTATTATGTCTATTATAGATATTGTTGCATTTTTAGGCGCTTTAAACAAATGATCGCTTAACAGATCAATGCATTCCAAACAGCCAAACCCAAATTTTATGTTTCAGAAATACAATGGCAGTTGCCCGAATGACTCATAATTTGGATCTTTCCGAGGTGACACGCGGGACTTTATTTAGTCTTTAAAAAAAATACAAAAAAAGCACAAGTACTTGCTTCGAGCCATACTGTCCAAATTAACCAACAGGACCGTATGTTAGCGAACACGACCAAACAGTTATTGCCATTGGACTCCCTCGGTCGGTCGGGACATACTGTCGCCTGTTTAGCGAATCGGTTTCGGTGCCATTTCGGTTGTAATCGCAAAATATAATACCCATCACTCCTTTTTGACTATACTTTACGACGGATCATATAGTTAAGGTGTGTAGGTATGTGCTTGTTGAGTCACGGACGTTATCTATGGTGTATTTAATAACAACAAAAATAATAATAATAATACAACAACACTGCCGAGGACGATAACCGATTTACATTTTAACGATGCAGCCGTTTGAAGAGACACAACGTAGCCGATGTTTGCTCAGTCGGCGGCTTTGACGTTGTCGACTGTCGTCTCGTCGCCGTGTGTTTTACTTGTAGTAAATCTTTACCGAAAACTAGTCAAACAAAAACATTTAATTTTCTGTACAAAGTAGGTACACAAAAGAAACTAATGTTGCGCCAACGTTGGTCGCGATCGTTCCCATTACCTATGTGTGCGCTTGTTTTGTGTGATCGTTCCATATTTTGGCGTTATCGCGACTAATAGCAAATACATACGTGCCATGACGAAAATTGTTCATGGTTTGTTTTATTATTATATAAAGCTCAACGGACGGAGTAATTAATAATCACACAAATGTGTGTAAAATAAGAAAAGCCAGCACAGTGGGATCGGGGTATAGCGAGACACGAATCACATTGCAAACGGCAAGGTCACTGGTCTTCGGAATTGTATATGAAATAGATTAAATCACTTTTAAACAAACACTTCGATGCGAGACTGTGTACGACAAAAAACAACCAAGTATAAAATATAACATTATTGGCAATACAAATTATTGTAGCGGTGTTATTTAATTTTCTGCGTTTGCCCATTAAAAAAGCACGAGCTGAGTTGAGAATAATCTACTGAAAGTTTAGATAAATTAGGCTATTGAGAAATTCTTAATACATGTATAAAATACTTGTTGAAAATTATATTTTCAGTAATGGGGTGGGTGGATCAGCATTGATCGTCTGTCTTTCTTAATATATTATGTAATTAGTTGCCATTGTTATCGCAATAGGCAACGTCATAATCAACAATTTAATATTTTTCTGGTGCATTTTGACTGTTAATTCATTCACAGGTCACACAAAATTTAATAAGGCACTAATACTATGAGCTTCCTCATTTTTTTTCCTTAAAAAAAAGAATTTTAAGTAAATATACGTACGATTTTCAATTATGAAGAAAAAGAGGTAAACTATTTTGATTTTTGGCCCAATAAAGTACCTTTAGATACTATTTCTGATCAACAGATTTCATGAAGCAATCGGTCCAGTTACAAAAAACAAAAGTAAAAAATAAAAACATCATCGTAAAAACCGTACCTTCTCCGTTCCACATCGAAACTAAAATATTCACAATGTATACTAATTTTGACAAAAGTTGAGTCACGTTATTATAAATAACATAGAAAAAAGAATGAGAGCTCATGAAGAATATAATGAATTGATATTCTACAAAAGTAAACAGTGAAAAAAAAAATGAATAGTCAAACTGGAGCCAAAACGAGCCAAACTGGGGTGAACAAATCGAATATACATAAGATTATATAATTATATTATATATCGTTCAATACCAAGCGTATGACAAATACAGTGGGTATAAATAGTGATGTCTATATTTTCTAATATTCTACACCGTCGATGCAATGTCGATTAATAAATATAATTACGGCTAAACGAATCGAACACAATGCTATAGTTTTTAATGTTATTAAAGCCCCGCGAGAAAATTTCACGGTCCAGCACTATAATAGACTGCGTGAATAATCATAGTCATTGGCAATTTGTCGACAACTGTGTGTGCGATACAGGCCTCGGCGAGGGGTGTGATCCAGAAAAAAAAGAAAGAAAAACATCTGTTTCGAAAATCGCGAGACCATTCATCCGGCGCCCCTCTTTTCTGTGCGCTTTTCGCCGCCGGACCGTAACACAAAGGCCACGGGGGCGTTTTGTTGTAACAAATCCAAAAGGATAATAATACACACACATACACACATACGGTCGGGGTATTTAACCCCAGCGGCGAGAGGTAATGATCTAGAAAGCCTTTAAACAAATTCTATTCCTCTGGTTTATTATTATTTTCTTTCCCTCCGGCCGGACCGTTTAACGATTATTTAAATGTCTTCGGATTGTAATGATAATAGCAATAATAACACCCCTTTCGCTCAACATCAAACGGTGCCGGCAAGTGTAGCGCGTTCATATAGCAGCATATAATATGCGGTAACGTCCTTTAATGTCAAATGGAAGCTTTTAATTTTCCCGCACATAATATTATCCTCCTTTGGCAGCAGTAATTGGAATTCCATTGTCGTAAATCCCTCAAGGATGCGCTGTCCTCTGTCATCGCTTAGATTGCTCTCGATGCGTCCGCAATCGTGTTCATCCTACGACGTGTCCACAAATAATATTAATA